TACAAACTTTAAAAATTCGTAACTTTCGCGTACGAGCTTCGTTTTCGACGTTCTTTATATCCACGCGTAGGCGGGAACGTACTCTACAACTTTTGTTTAGACTCCGTTGGCTAATTTTGAATTTATTTTAAAAGTTATATTTTTAACAGGCCGGGACAGGATTGGTCCGTTAAAAATTCATAACTTCTTCATCCGACGTCCGTTTTCGTCTGTCTTTTTATCGTTATGCTACTATTAACGAGATCTTCGATTCTCATTTAGGTTGTGTTGGCTAAAAACCGCTCGATCTAATATTCGAACTTCGGGCTGTACACTACTAAGCCGAAACTTCGAAAAATCATAACTTCCTCATACGAAGTCAGATTTGGGCGTTCTTTTTATGGACGCTCTCGGTTTAACGTTTTCTACGACTTTCGTTTAGATTGCTAAGGATAAAAATTGCTTTATCGTAAATTCACTATTTACGCTACCCGTTGTCGTGCTGGTTCCGTCGTGAAACTTCGACGAGTCATAACTTCTTCACTATAACTCGGATTTCGGCGTTCTTTATATATCCGGAATCCTTGTTTCGACTACTACAACTTTATGTAAAGATATCGGGCTTATCTCGTACTTTAATTTTGACGCTTATTTTTATTCTTTATTAATTATACATTTATAATTAAATAATAAACACATAAATTCACATAATTCACAAAATACTCAAATATTTCATCTTCATTTCATCAAAAAGAGTTACAATAGTTGACCTAGACTATTACATCGTCTAAAATGCTTAGCCCCGAAACCCGGACGTTACAGATAAGGATCCTTAATATAACACCCAAATGAAATATTAAGGCTAGGACCCAACACAATATTCTACAATTCAGAAGAGGGATGCCGTAATCCAATTGTAAAATATTTGAAGGTGGGTAAATGACGATTTACCAATTTCTACCATGAAAAACAAAATTGATTATTAAGTTTTAAATGAATTGAAATTCGTAGATTCTTTTGAGATTCATTGAACTTTCAATGGCATGTTTAAATCTCGATTATGCCCTTCAAGTTTGTAACTGGGATACCAAGGATCACAAATAATGTGTGAATAACCATGCAAATGTGCTTGGTGCTCTTAATGTTACAAATCACTTGATCAATGTGCCGGTTAACCACACACACTCCATTGCTCCATGATTAACATCAAGCTACCCTTTGCCACCCTTGCTAGTCCCAAATTAGTGTGCCGGTTAACCACACACGCTCCACTAACGACTTAGCAAGGTGCAAAGTGCAATTTCCATGGGATAGCACCATTTTCATATTTTTCCTAAAGTAACTAAGATTGAGAATTTATAAAAGTTTAGTTACTTTATAATATCATTATACTTACTAATGAGAATTAATGTCCTATCATACCCGTTCGGCTAACGACCCTCCACCAATCAAGGAAGCGGTGGGTGAGAGTGGACACCCATTAAACCACCATTTTATAGGCAGTAACCTTATACCCCCCCCCCCCTTATAGACCGGATTCGTGAATGGGGCCTACTAACGGTAAGACTGACTTGTCTTATACATATATATAAGTATTAAACTTTAATATTATAATAGTATAGGGTTAAATTTTAAACTTTTAAAATTCTAAGGTTTGGAATTAAAGTTTCATAAGTGAGACTTTTCAAATTCCAAAACTTGAGGGCAAGTTTTGAAACTCTTCAAAAACTCTTGAGTTTTAGAATTTATGTTCCATAAAAGAGACTTTCCAAGTTCCATAACTTGAGGACAAATTATGTAACTCTTCAAGACCTTTGAAATTCTATAACTTATAAAATTAATGTTTCATGAATATAACTTTTCACATTTCATAACTTGAGGACAAGTTATGAAACTCTTCAAGAAACATTTAGATCAATTTAACTAATAACATTATCTTATAATTCATCATTTACCAATTGACCTTAATATTATTCATACAATTTCAAAATTTACAAATAATTAGTTTTTTTTTCTTCACAAAATCAAGTAATTATCTTAAAATTTGACAATTATTATGTTATTGGATGGGGATAAACATTACCATATCAGTAAAATCGAATTTTATGAACCAAAACAGTTTGTGGTAATGATCCTAATCCAAAACAGGCCAAAAACTCGAAAATTCTGCCATCTGATGATCCAACTCGTCGAGTCCCATTATGGACTCGTCAAGTTCATCATCATATGAACCAACTCGTCGAGTTCCATGATGGACTCGTCGAGTAGGCCCTGGCAGAATCCAAAAATGCAGTTTTTTCATCTTTGAAAATTACACAATTGCATCAATATAATAGAAAACACTCTAGGCTCTGATACCACTGTTGGGTTTTATGTACTCTAACATTCCTATGGTGCACATACAACCCTAATGCTTTGGATCTAAGTTTTCTCTAATTATACATGCAATATTGGTTTCCAAAGCATGAAGCTTAAACTAGCATACAAAATTTGATATATGAATCATAAAACAAGTTAGAATATTACCTTTTGATGTAGCTAGTAGAACTTTGGCCTTAAGAGAACTTAGCACCCCAAGTGTTGTGCCTCAAACAAGTCACAAACACCAATAAACAACTAGATGAATATGAGAGAGGTTATGAAGACTCAAAATCAGTTTCTTGTTCTTGGAATGCAAGTGGTAGCTGATTTTAGGCTTAGAGTTACATATATATATATATATATATATATATATATATATATATATATATATATATATATATATATATATTGTGTAGAAATCCAAGAGTCATGTGTAACCCTAATTCATACACTTAAGCTTATGGTCTAATACTTGATTTGGACTAACACTTCATGGACTAACCCATAAGCTTATTCCATCACAAATCAATCATGTATCATTAGCCCAATCCATATGTATCAATTTAATTAGTCTCTTTTGATTACTAAATTAATTATAAATTAATTATTGACCAATACTAATTAAATAATATGATTTCTCAATTAATATATTATACTTATAATATATTAATAAATCACAAATAACATCTTTCTCAAATATCCATCTATCAAATTGTTCTGGTGAAGACAACCCAAAATGGACAATGCTACTATCGGGTCAAGTACATACCAATTATATTTATGAGCTTAGACACCTAATCCAACACTTGTATCTGCCGGAAAACTTCACACAAAGTTTGTTCTTACCAAACTTCAGGTGGATGAAATTTTTACAAAACCACTTCCAAGACCGTTATTTGAATCCTTTAGGGAACGCTTAAGAGTTTGTCTGCCACCAATTTCGCTTGAGGGGGGTGGGGGTGGGTACCCGACTATATTTATTCAATATAGCCAACTCTCTATCTTAGGATATATTTTGTGTATTAATTTGTATTCCTTTTATAGTTTATTCTTTGTAATTATATATTGGATCATTTATGTTAATAAAATTCATTCTGGAAAACTAAATCTCTCTATATCATTGTTGAGGAAAGATAATTATGAGTTACACACAAATGAAATAATGAATTATAGTTACACATGTTTTGTAGTTGATGCATCTGTTTAAAATAGTTTGAGACACAACAATCATTGATTTTCGTATTCAAAAGAAGTCATCAACCATAGACAAACATGACATTGATAGATGTATAATTCTAACTCAAAAGAATGCATTTTTTTTCGTAAAACAAATTTTATTAGAAAACTTTAGCAAAGAGCTAGAGAGAACAAATTCCACAAAAAGTTCAAAAAAACACAAAATAAACAACACATGAAATAGCTAACATAGGTTGGAAAGCCACCCAACCCGCCTAAGTTTTCTTCTTCTGCTTCTATTACTTACCCACAAAAAAGATTGAATAAGAACTTTATCCTACAAGTCCCTCTTCTTAATCCGATAACAAGTCCATCTTCTTAATCCGATAGCCCCATAGTTTTCATTTTGAGTGCAAGTCTATCGTTAGGTAACATTCTATATTTTCTAATGAACAATGGACGATGATTCCTATTTCCTAGGAAAAAGACCTCGTATGTACCATTGTCACCAAAGTTTTTCATGTCTATTGTTTCATATACTTGTGCTTTCTAAAAAGAATTGTTATATTGTAAATACTATAATCACAATAACAATTCCAATAATATGTAGACTACAACTACTTTTGAAAAATTTAAACCCACCGAACACGTTTAAATTTTATTAAGCATTTTTAAATAACATTAATTTTTTATGCATTTATTTATATTATAAGTAGTTATTCCTTCTCTTTTAAACCTTCAATAAAGTTATATTCAAGGTTTTGAAAACCGGACCGGAGACCGAACCGGTCGTCTTACTGGTTCGATGGTTGAACCGGTCGAACCGGACGGTCCGGTCCGGTTTTCAAAACATGGGTTATATTATTCGGTTATTCCTAAGTTGAAATACATCAAATGAATGATTTTAAAAATAATATTTTGATTTTTTATGTCATAGTCGATAGTTAAAGTATGTGGATAGTTAATTGAACCGAATTTCGATCATCAAAAATATACTATAGGCCAGATTTTTCCCATAGCCTTTTGATCATCATGGAATCGAATAGCTAAAAGCATGGGCTAGAATTTTAATAAAATAATTTATTCTTCCTTTTGCCTAAAAACATTGTTTTTAAGATTTCACATATAACCTATTTTTTTATTCAATTTTTCAATATTTCAAACATGTCTTTATTCAATATATATAATACCACCTGATTAAAAAATTGGTGGTAATTTTATTATGAAGCAATAATTGACTTCTCATGGGTGATGTTTGCCTGACTTTCTAAATAATTAATTTATTTAATTTATAATTAAAAATTAATCAAAGTTAAATTATAGTATTAATAGAGATTAGGAAACAAACAAAGAAAATAAAATCGTACTATATTTGATTTGTTTTATAATTTAATATTAAAGATGCGATTTGTTTGTTATAAAAAACTAAATTACTGAATCTAAAAACAACTCATCTTATGCTTTGCGTCGGCATTCAGTCAGACCAACGACAAAACAGCAGGAAGCGTCATATCTCCGTTCTCCACCCGATCATTTCTCATCCAACGTTCATCAACCTTTTGACTACCTTTTGCATGCTTGCCACGTATTCAAATGATGTGATTCCCCCAGAAAAAAAACACACACTATTCCCTTCCCCCCTTTCTTACCTGAAATTCGCTGATATGGAAATCCGGCTTTTCACCTCCTCCACACCCAAAACTTCTCTATATGGTCTCTGATTCGCGACTTTCAAACTTCAATTCGAAGATCCTTACTTGCTTCACCACTGGATCTTGCTGTTTGTTTCCGATTTTTTTAGGGTTGATGCAAAACCTATCAGGGATTTGATTCAATTCGATTCAGTTCATCAGGTGAGTTCTTCGGTGCATTTTTTTTTTTGTGAATTTGAATCTCCATTGAGTTTTACATCAATTGGATTTTATTTGTTCTTGTTCGTAAACGTTTTGCTGATTCGTTAGTCTAAAATCTGTAAAACGCACACATGATTGACGGTTTAAGCGGAATAATTTTGAGGAACGTCATCGGAGATTAATTAGGATGTTAAAATTTCGCACCTGGATTTTTAGATCATTAATTAGGATGTTATAATTTCTGATTTAGATTGGGTCTTGAGGATGAATGTAAAATGAGTATAGTTTTTTAGTTGGAATCCGATGTTAATTGAACTACCTGGCTTGAAGTCTTCAGGTAGTATGGGAGGCCATCTTACGGTCAAAGTCAATTGCTTAGATATATTCAATAGCAATCACAATGTTCAATGCATATAAATGGAAAGTGGTTTGATTTCCCTAGTTATTTAGAATAATATTTTAAACACGAATGGATAGAGATCACTCAGATTTTTTCAATTATATATTCTTTTTGTATCTAGTAGTTAATCACTCCAGGATATAATACAATATCTATTTGTTTCATTCAAAGTTCAAACACTGCTTCTTATGGTCAGTCGATTCTTACAATGTCTGCTTTTACTATTCAAACACTATCTTCCCTGTTGTAAGTTGAGCTCTTTAGATCTGAATCAAAACATATATTTCTTTTATATTTCTATAAATCTTCATTATTATAACCATCTCATGACCTGATATTAACCTGGACATCTTCTAACCATATGATATAGGCTTGACATGTTTTAACCATGACTGGTGTGTACTCCTGATGGTTTTCAGGATGAGTCAGGAGATAAAGTTACATGGAGATGTTTACTTTGGCAATGTCAAGGGTAAACTCCCCCATGGCATGGGTAGCTACACATGGTCAGATGGCACAGTTTATGATGGTAATTGGGAAGATGGAAAGATGTGTGGTAGAGGTCGAATCTCATGGTCATCTGGAACAAGTTATGAGGGTGATTTTTCTGGTGGATATCTCCATGGTTTTGGCACATTAACAACTCCTGATGGATCTGTATACAAAGGTTCATGGAGATTGAACATTCAAAATGGTGTTGGAAGAAAGGAGTATAGTAATTCCGATGTTTATGATGGTTGTTGGAAAGATGGAGTTCATGAAGGAAGTGGAAAGTACGCTTGGGGGAATGGAAACACGTATATAGGGAACTGGAAATCTGGTAAAATGTTTGGTAGAGGGGTAATGAAATGGATAAATGGTGACCTTTTTGATGGATCTTGGTTAAATGGGTATAGACATGGGTCAGGTGTTTATAGGTTTTCAGATGGTAGTTATTATTTTGGGACATGGACAAAAGGGCTGAAAGATGGTCAAGGCACATTTTATCCTGCAGGAAGTAAATGCTCATCTTTTAGAAAGAAAGCTCATTCTCAACGATTCAGGGATCCAGAACGTAATGTTACTCGAACTTATTCTGAAAAAATTACTTTTAGTGGTTTTTTTAGAGATTCGGGTCGTATAACAAGCAGGAGAATCCCGCCAGATGACGATTATGCCCTTGGGGATTCCACTAGAGAGTTTTCTACTTCTGAGAGAACAGAAATGTTTTCTCGTATCTCAGATGAAGGTGAAAGTGAAGTAGATGATGATAGTACTGTGGCATGGGAAAGGGAGTACATGCAAGGTGTTTTAATGAAGGAACGTGTTAAGAATCATTCAGGGGCGTTATCGTCTAAAAGCAAGCAAAGTAAACGTATCACAAATGAATCGAAACAGAAGTCATGTGTGGATATTTTTGAAGGTCATAAAAGCTACTGTTTGATGCTTAATCTTCAACTAGGTATCAGGTAAATAAATCATACTTGAACATCTCAACTTTTCCTTTTTTTCTTTCTCAAAAACTAATTGTGGTTTTTATCTATTAATTGTTTTTATTACCCCAACACAACTCATGTGTTGTATCATTTGAAGTTCACAGGTACACAGTTGGCAAGATTACACCAGTTCCTATGCGTGAAGTGAGGTCTTCAGACTTTGGGGAACGTGCTAGAATAAGGATGTATTTCCCTAGAAAAGGCTCACAATTTACACCTCCACACTATTCTGTTGACTTTCATTGGAAAGACTACTGTCCCATGGTCTTCAGGTATCTGTTTGTATGCAAATACAGAGCAAAAATGTAAAGGGTAGATTTGTAATTTTGTGGTAGATTGTGATGGGTGTTTCTCTTCAGGAATTTGAGAGAGATGTTTAAGTTAGACGCTGCAGAGTATATGATGTCAATCTGTGGGGATGATGGATTGAGAGAGCTTTCTTCTCCAGGGAAAAGTGGCAGCTTATTTTATCTCTCTCATGATGACAGATTTGTAATCAAGACTCTAAGAAGATCTGAGCTCAAGGTTTTATATTATTATTATTAAAATATAATCTAATTATTACGTTAAAGTTGCACAGAATTGAATATGATATTATTTGTGTAGGTTCTGTTGAAGATGCTTCCTAGCTATTATGATCATGTTAAAAAGTATGACAACACTTTGATCACCAAGTTTTTTGGGCTCCATGAGATAACACTAAGAGGTGGCAAGAAGGTATATTTTGTTTTTCCAATTCATGTGTAATTTAGTTTTCTTGTGATTAATGAATTTGAATTTAATTTTAGGTGCGATTCATAGTGATGGGAAATATGTTTAAAACAGAATTACGGATACACAGGAGGTATGATCTGAAGGGTTCTTATCAAGGAAGATTTACATGTAAGGATCATATAGACGAGGGCACCACATTAAAAGACCTTGATCTTGCATATGAATTTCATATGGACAAGACATTGCGTGAGGCCCTTTTCGAGTAAGTCTATTATATTATTATATATTAAGTTGAAATAAATTATGATTTTAAACAAGTATGTTATTTTGCAGGCAAATCCAGCTAGACTGTTCGTTTTTAGAATCTCAGCAGATTATTGATTATAGTCTTCTACTTGGATTGCATTTTAGAGCTCCTGAGCATTTGAAGGCTCTGTTGGAAGCACCAGATGCAGAGCATGGGTCTTCTTCATCTCTTGAATTTGATGATGGTAAATGTCAATTGTCTGTTCCTATTATCTTATTTTGATTAAAACTGAAAATTTAGAAATGATTTTTAATTTAGGTCCAAAATCGGGTGAGCTGTCAATCCCTCCAACAGGTCTTCTCCTAGTGACACATGAACCCAGTTCAGTGAACACTGCACCAGGTCCTCACATAAGAGGAAACACCTTAAGAGCATTTTCTGTAGGTGACAAAGAAGTCGATCTCCTTCTTCCAGGAACTGGAAGGTATTTATAATATTTACATATAATCAAATTTCAATGGGATTTCTCTCTTTTGTTTATTTAAATTCATAATTAATAATTAATTATTATATATTCAGATTACGAGTGCAATTAGGGGTAAACATGCCAGCTCAGGCAAACCGGAAAGTTTCACAAGAGGTTTCTGGTTCAACAGAGGTGGAGCTTTTTGAGGTATATGATGTTGTTCTATATCTTGGAATAATTGATATTCTACAAGATTATAACATGAGAAAGAAAATAGAGCAAGCCTGTAAATCCGTTCGATATGATCCCATTTCAATATCTGTTGCTGATCCCAAATTTTACTCTAAGCGTTTCATCAATTTTCTTCACAAGGTTTTTCCTGTTGATCCCTGAAACCCCATCAAGATTCTTTTATTATACCTATACCCCCCAAGTATATAGTTTTTCCTTTTAATTAACATTATCTTTTTTCTTGTAACTTTTATGTATCATAATCATATCATATTCTCCTATTTTTTGCAATTTTTTGTGTTTTATTATTATGTAATAAACTAATTCAAGCCTATCTTGTTTCAATGCTACGCGGAAAAAATTAACTTTATAAAGTCTTGTTGCCAGTAAAGGGTATTTATGGTCTTCCTTTTCTGTAAAAGTGATCAATCATCTTCTGGACAGCTACCTCCATTTTTTTACCTTTGAAAATTGAGGTGTCATCATTGTATCATAATTAAAAACTGCAACACATCAAATACTTTGAAGAGATCGTTAATAATACCACCATTTATTTAATATTTTGACAGTTGATTTTCATTAAAAACATGATTATAAGTTAAGGAAGTTCTCTAAGCATTTATGTATCTACGTACAACAGATTTTAAACAGAAGAATAAAAACTCTTGTGTTATGTTGAAGTATGTGATGGATGCAAACGCAAGACTTTTTATAGAAATATGTTGCTTCAATTAATACTGCACAAATGTTTTTTTAGAATCAATACTACTTATAAAAGTAGGACAATGTACATAAAACCTAGTATGTAATTGAGTTTTTAGCTAAACACTGCCAGTTTAAAAAAATATTTACTAATTGATGGTTGTTTCAAATTTATTTACAAAAAAAAAAAAAGATCTTAACTATTTTAAATTAAAAAATAGTAAAATAAATAGACCTCACTTGAGTCTCCCTCACACCGGTTCTTTTGTCTTCTTTCTCCTTGCATATCTTCTCCATTGGAGCCATTTATGGAACTACGACAATTCAAGAATATTAGCACCATGGTTCTTGATTGTTCGTCCTGTTCTTCAGATGTACTGTCACATGTCATTCAAAGAAGAAACTGCATGAATTGATACAAATCAGATCATTTGAGCATATGTTGCGAAATAGTGAATCGCTCCATGGAAATATTATGCCATTCATTAACGACTTTGATAGACTTTTAAGTGTCGAATCGAAACATAGCTTGCTATTACTTTCGATTCAAAAGAAAAGGGGATGGAGCTAAGACATATGTCAAATAACGTGCATTAAGAAAGATTTCTTCCTTGTCATACTCGTTCAAACTCTTGTGGACTTCTATTAAACAAAGCACATACAAAGCCACAAATTGAAATAGTCTGTTTCTTGTAAAGATCAAGTCATCCACATATAAACTTACCATAAGAAAACTTCATCTTGGTTTCTGTTTGTAGAAAAGTGTATGCGCTTGGCTGCTTTTGACGAAGCCTTCATCTAGAAATTATTCCTTAATTTTTTTGTACATGGCTCTCGGGGGCTGCTTTAGACTGTATAAACCCTTTTGTAGTTTCTAGACTTTATCTTCATCACCTTTTCGAATGTATCCTTCTGGTTGCTCCACGTATATTGTTTCTTTCAAGATTTAAAGCAAGAATGCACTCTTGACGTCTATTTGAAAGACTATCCAGTTGTTTTGTGCGATAAGTGCTCTAGTAACATCTGAAATATGTCTCATCTTGCTATAGGTGCAAACACTTCTTCATAATTGATGTCATACTTTTATAAGTAAACTCTCACAACTAGTCTCACTGTGTATTTGTCAACCTCTCCCTTTTCATTTAGCTTAGTTTTATAAACTCATTTAACTCTAATCTTTCTCATTCAAGCAGGTTTTTTTGGAACCGGCAAATGATATTAAAAATAAAAGCCAAGCCTAGCAAGGAACTAGATACGTACAAAACAATTACAAAATGCAAATTTTTTGAATCATCTTAAATACAAGAAAACGGAAAAATACTGCAATCTATCCATTTGAATGGACAATTCAATCTCCTGTATTTGATCCACGTGAACACCGTTGATTTGATACTGTCTGCCACCTTCGTTGGATTGGTGATACGGTGTTTGTACAATTTTCATTTCGGGCCTTCCATATACACCATAATGATCCGTAACAGATACTCGTTCGTATTTTCCTTCTCAAACTGCAGTTCCCACATCTGGTAACATAATCAATTGAGTTCCCCATAGAGTCCAGTTTAAGAAATGGCAACTGACACCACCTGAATACCCACTCCCAAACAGTGGTTGCGAATGGACCTTTTAACAAAATATGGTCCTTTTCTTCTTCATCTATCAAACAATAATTGCACAAGTTGGAACCAATGTTAACACCCCGCTTTGATAACGCAACAGCCAAGGGTAGTCAATTAAGATTTTCGGAATTCACCTCTTGATCAACGACGCAGCTTTCCGGCTCAGCTCTTCTTCTCCGGTGGGAGCAAACGCCGACAGGGCTTGGGCTAGGTCCCTTCTTCTGATTGGGTTTTTGTTGGGGTGATCCTGGTTTTTTCGACTCTGGGGAGATTTACGTAATCTGGTGAAGCTATTTCCAAAATTGATTGATCCAATGGTCTCTAATCAGTCATGTTCCTCGTCTGGTGAGGGTTGGAAGAAGAACAACGTTCAAAAGACCTCTAATGAAAGAATCCATGCAATATCCAGGTCTGAGTCACATTCGTTTTATATTACAAATTTCCCATATTATATTATTCATTCCGATATATAGCGTATATGTTCTCAGTTTGGAAAAGTTTGTGATGTATTTATCTCCAAAAAGTTGTCACGTATGGGGAAACGTTTCGGTTTTGTTAGATTTTCGGGCAATGTTAACGTTGATCATATGATTAAGAATCTTTGTGAAGTGTGGTTCGGGTATCACAAGCTGTTTGCTTCTGTCCCTCGTATTCATAAGAAAGAACCTAATTTCCATAGGGAACCACCTAAGGTGGAGAAGAAACGGGAGAATTTTTCTGTTTCATATGCAAATGTAGTAAGAGGTGGTCATAGTGAGAAATCTATATCTGACAAAGAAGAATTAGCCATTGTTCTTGAATTTGGGAATTTTGTTATTGACAACAAAAAATTAGCGTGTTTAGCTAAGGCCCGTGACTTTAGTACTCTTCCTAAATTGGGTGTGTTGTGCCATGATGAAGGTTTTGATAAGTTTATTATTCGATATGTGGGTGGCTTGTGGGTGATGTTTGAATTTAAATTCAAAGAAGCATGTAAAAAACTTTTGTCCTGTGATGCGGTTAATCATTGGATCACTGAAAAAAGAAAATGGGACAAAAACTTTGTGCCATCTGATCGTATTGTGTGGGTTGATGTTGAAGGTCTTCCCCTACGTGCTTGGAGTAAGAATTCTTTTAGACATATTTTGGCCAAATGGGGTTCAATTGCTCATCTTGATGATAACATTGGAGAAGACGTGTACAAATCACGTGTATGTATTATCACCTCGTTTCTTGGTATAATTTCTGAAGTGATTAAAGTTAGTATTGATGGTGAAATATTCCCCATTCGTATCAAAGAAGCTCCCGGTTGGAATCCTACATTCGTGTGTGAGTTCAACAATATTGATAATGATAGTGTTGATGCTATTTACCGATTTGAACAAGAACAAGATGGTAGCAATGATTCATTAATTGATAAGGAAAATTTCTCACTTGATCCTTTTGGTATTTATGATGTAATGAAAAAAATGGATAATGAAGAGGAATTAAAAAAACCAACCAAGCTGCAAAAGAGTTCACCCCAGGGGCTATTTTGGAATTCTGATACAATAAATGAAAACTCAAACTTATAGGGGCCACCTCCTGTTGCTGGTCCTGGTCCAGCTCATGCTGATCACCAGACTCCCGATAAATACGACCCAACACAACCCTATTCACAGGCTGAAGCCTTGCCGACAACAGCTCAAGCTGATGCTGTTAAAATTGCAACAACAGCTCCTGTTGCTGTAAAAAATGCGACAACAGCTCCTGCTGCTGTTCCGGATGCTACCTCGACAGCTTCAACTCCTATTCTCTCTTCTCACCTTCGAAAAAAAAATCTGAAGTTAATCAGAATTCAGGGGGTATGCATGATGTTCTTATTGAAAACTTTCCTTCTAAGGACCGGGTTCATAGTAAACCGGTGGGTTTTTTCTGTAGGTTTTGGACGAGTCTCGGGTATTAATTGTTTTAAAGATGATCTCTCTCATCCCCTGGGTTTCTCGAATCAGCGGTTTTCTTTTTCGGGGAACAATCAAAGTATTTCAGATGGCATTGATAAAAATAATTCATTTTTAAATGAATTACAAAAAACTATTGCAATGGGAGAATCGTTGGGGTATAATATGGACGGTTGCATGGATCGTGTTACAGAGATTTTAAAAGGGAACGTTAAGAGGCAAGTTCCAAAATGAATTGTTTATCAATAAATATTCAAGGGGCGGGCTCCTTAGATAAGAGGAGTTGGATAAAAAAATTGTGTAATCGTCATAAAGTTAACTTTTTAGCAATTCAAGAAACTAAGTTAGAGAACATTGACTTAGTTATGGCTAGATCTTTTTGGGGTAATTCTTCTTTTATGCACGTTTTTTCTCCTTCTCGTGGAGCTTTTGGGGGTATTCTTGCTATTTGGGATGTGGATTTGATTTCTCAAAATCGAGTTTGCGTTCACGATGGCTTTGTTGTTATTGAGGCGGTTTGGGTTCGTTCGGGTCTCCAAGTGAATTTTATTGTTGTCTATGCTCCTCAAGGGTTAAATAATAAAAGACTTCTTTGGAATGATATTTATAATATTATCTCCAATTCTTCGGGGGAATGTATTGTTATGTGTGACTTCAATGAAGTTAGAAATGAGTCTGAAAGATTGGGATCGAATTTCAATACGTCTTCTGCGAGAGTTTTTAATGATTTTATTAATTCTGTTGATCTTGTGGATGTTTCTTTGGGTGGACCTAGATTCACTTGGAGCGATAAATGGGGTTCCAAATTCAGCAAGCTTGATAGATTTTTGGTCACAGAGGGTTTTTTGGATTCTTTTCCTCATCTTTCAGTTATTGTATTGGAAAAGAATATTCCTGATCACCGTTCTATTCTTCTGTTGGAGCATCGGATGGATTATGGTCCGACACCTTTTCGTTTATTTCATTCTTGGTTTGATATGGAGGGGTTTGATAATATTGTTCGGGAGGCTTGGGCTACCTCGTTGGTGGGGATGGAGTTGACTAACCCTTGGATCATTTTTAAGAAAAAACTTCAGTTTCTTAAATCTAAACTCAAGGAGTGGAACTCTAAACACCGGGACATGGTGGGTAGTAAAAGGAAGAATTTGCAAGAGTTATTAGAGTCTATTGATATTAGGCTCATGGAGGATGAAGGGTCTGCTAACTTGAGAGAGCAAAGAGTTTCTTTATTGAAGGAGTTGTCGGATCTTGATCATCTAGTTCAAGTCGATCTTGCTCAAAAGGCTAAAG